AAGATTATAAATATCATAAAACCCATGTACAGAATACAGAAACTAAGAGTGTTATGGGAAAATGGAAAGAAGAAGAACACAGATATGCTCTTTTGATATCTTAGTGTTGGTCTTAATGTCTTCTTCACCCTGGTGGAACAGTCTTTGGCTCCTGGGCAGTTGTTGTTTTTAGTTAATACAGTAATTATCAGGACTTCAGTTCCTTCCCACCTAATTAGCAGCACCCCACCTCGCTGGAATCTAGGAAGGAGCTAATGTATACTGAAACCAAATTTGATGCTTAGAAAATCCTTGAGCTGTTGAAACGCACACCTGTGCTGTTTGGCAGGCGAACCGAATCTCAAGTAAAGAATTTCTGCAAATCTCCTGTTCAGTTGGCTAAACTGGTTTTCACTCCTATTGAACAACTCTGGAGGGTGGGGGGATTCCTCTATTTTTCCTTAACAATCACAATCATGCCAGAGAAATAACCTCCAATTCTGAGGTCTCAAAAGTGGAAAGCATAATATGTTTCATGGCATTATGTTATCATCAGGTAAAAATTTCTAATTTATGGATCAATTAGTTTTTCACAGTGAAAATAAATCTGCAGCTATTTGTAAAGATCAAGTTATAGTTAAGATACTCCTTTGATTAATTTAGAGAAAGCAGCTTTCTCAATCTGTTCACTTTTATATAGAAATTAAGAATAATCTGTTATGGATAGTTATATAAAATTTTCAGTGAGCTCAATCCTAAAGAAAACAAGGAAGTATTTATCAGTTGAAAGGTACTTTCTGTAAATCGGTTTGCAGATTAATTGCAAAGGTTATTTGGGACCATATAATCTTAAGGTGAAACATGCCATTTATGCATTAGTTCTTTAAAAAAAATCTTTTCTATTTGGTCTATTTTGTTTTAGGAACATTCTTATGTTGAATTATGTGGTTTGAAAATGGCAAGATATAAGACATTTTAAAATAAATGTTTGCTTCATTACATGACATTCTTTAAGTATTAAAGAAAGCTAACATTTTTCATTCTTTGGTCAGGCACATATGGGCTCTAAAATGTAACTTTTACTGTAAATACACAGTACATTTTAGAGAAGAAAAAGAAAAAAGAGGTTACATTGTTTAACCTCATAAAAAGGACAATAGATTAAGGAAAAATTAATCATGCCCACAGGCATGACAACCCCAGTCTGTTTTAGCTGGCAAAGGAACTAATAGTATTGCCATCCAGGTCTTAATTTATGGGTTGCTTGTGTATTTATAACCTCTCTTAAACTGAAATTGTGTGTTACAATCTCTGCAGTAATAGAATATTTTTTAAAGTTTTCATCAAAGATTAATATTTATTCTTTCCATAATGCACATCATTCTCTATGCTAAATTAACTGTTTGTATAAATATATAAACATGTATATATATAAACCTCAATCAGCCAGAGCTGTAGCTCTTAGCCTGGCTCTGCCTTGGCAGCTCTAAGAACACCTTACCAGGCTGACCCAGAGATTCTGGCATCCTTGGTGTGGTGATTCCACAGGGTGGTGAGGTGTTAGGATTCTTTCTTGGAGTTCCAGGTTAGAATTCAAAATTTGTTTCCTCTGGAAGGTATGTTGCAGTGATGGTCTGAGTTTATGAATTTTTAAAAATGCAATGGGTAGAACTACATTAGATAGTAGCTTTTTGGAGTCTGGTCTAAAACACAAAACCAATCATCACCGCTCTTTCTTTTAAACAATGTGGCTTTGAACTTATCGAGGCCCTCAGCAATTTAGTGAGATCCTGGACTCAAAATAAAAAATAAAAAAACAGGGTGGATGTGCTTCAGTGGTTGAACACCGTGGGTTCAATCCCTGGTACCAAATAAAAACAAGAACAAAAAAACCAATGTGGCTTTCGATGCAAACAGTGGAATTTATAAGCAACCAGTTATAAACTGCCTGAGTCCTAAAGGTCACAATACTCAACTTTTTTTTTTTCCAGTCAAAAGTAAGCCAGGTTCTTGTCTAGTAAAAACAAGAAATCATTAACAAATTTAGTGAGTACCTACCAAGAGCAAGATACAGCAAACAAAGAGACCGTTAAACAAAGCCAAAAAATGTGGTACAAACTTTGTGCGATGTTTAATTTTAGGCAACTCCACATGGAATGTGCCAGCTAATGATTTACGTTTTCTAAATAGCAAATTGGATCAGAAATAGATGGTTCAGAAAGAAATATGGCACTGAAGTAACAGTGGAAATGTGCCAGGGGGCAGGAAACCAAAGCACTTTATGGCAAAGTCACACAAAAGAAGAGAAGACATTTGCTCCTTAAAGGTGACTGGTTTGAATGTCTGGGAAGATGATAAGGAAATGGTTAGGAAGGTGCTTCCCAAACTTCGTTTCTAAATTAACCCACTAGTGAACCCAAAGCAACTCATTGGGACAAACTGAGACCAAGAGCAGAACCATAGAGAAACTGCCTCCCACCAAGCAAACCATCTCCACCCTGGTTCACATTCACACAGCCAGGAGACCGATCAAGCACACACCACCTACCTGTTGCCACAGCTGCATGAGTAGACCTCACTTGCGTTTCCTCAGAGCTCAGATTGTGGCATTTGGGTCAAAGTTAAGGAGAGAAAGATTTGGGCTCAATATAAAGGAAAGTTTCCTAAAAGTGCTGTCAAAACAAAACAGAATGAAAGCCTTGCATGTGCTAAACACTTGGTGGAGCAAGGGCTGGTAATTATTCTAAAAATGGGATAATTGTATTGAGTGGAGCATGTCCCAGTGGTCACTCATGGTCCTTCCAAACCAAAGTCTTGGTGATTATATCCCAGTCACCTAGTCACCTAATATCATTCTGCACCCATTTGGTTTAAAAGGAGAGGGGGCACAGACAAAAAAAAGGGGGGGGAGTTAAATTCTTCACAATGAACCAAAGTATCCCTCATAAAGATTGCGAAAACAGAGCGTTAGGAACGAGTTTCTTGAAGCAGACTGATTTACAGGTTTTGGACCTTTGGTTACTTTTGGCAAGAAGTGAATCTTAAAAGGTCATACCAAGAACTGCGAGAACTTTAAGTGGACAAATAATAACCCATAATAAAGCAAGTGTCTTTGTTCTTTGACTTATGCCCAGATTCGTGACCTCATGGGCTGGAAGTACACCCTGATCTTTATGTTTGCCCTAAGACAGCAGTGAAGGAATGAAGGAATGAAGGAGCGTATTTTTCGATTAGGCGCCAAAGTTGGTGGTGGTTGGAAAAAGTCAAACAAGATACAGAGCAAACGGACTGCACTGTGACAGTCACCTCTTCAGAGGACTGACCACGCTGGGAGCAGGAAGGGGGATTCCGGCATGACTTCGGTGCACGCCTAGGAGGGATGCTTGCGTTAGCAGGGGTCGCCAGCACTGCGGCTGCTGGCTGCAATATTTCACATCAAGACTGAAGCCAAGCTCCCGGAGTCCGTGCTATCCATCTGCTGCCACCCTGAATTTAGGCCTGAGCCCCGCAAGCACTTCTTTACAGTGACTTTCCGCATATCACCGGACCCAGAAAGAACAGCAGAATTTTCAAGGCAGGGCCAGTTTCAGGGCCAGAGCCGGCACCGTGATCCCTCCTTGATGAGCCAAACCGGGTGACCCAAACAAGCCTGGCCCGCAGACCTTTGGAGTTCAGCAAACCGAGGCTGCATCACCTTACCGCGTCCTTTCAGAGCACTCAGAAGGCTTTTTGCCCTGCTTTTACACGGTGCTCAGGAAGCCAGGCTATTTCCAGCAAAAAGTGGCAGGGTGGATGGAGGTGACAGGGCGGGGCGGGGCGGGGTGGCCAGCAGGCTGTCCACGTCTGGCTGCCAGTCTTTTCTCTGCACAGCTCTAATGACAGGGCCGTTTTCCGCAGCACCCCGGGCCGGAGATTCAGGGACGCGAGCGCACAGACCAGCCTTCCTCCCGACCGCGGGCGGCGGGCCAGTTAGCTGAAGAAAACCCAGGGGAAGCGCCCAGGGATCCCTCTGCTCCCCAGCCGACGCGCCCTCGCGATCCACCTACGGGGGCAGCCGGGCCGGGCCGCGCGCGCCCCCTAGCGCGGGGTCGGTGCGGAGGCGGAGGCGGCGGCGGTGGCGGGCGGGGGCGGAGGCAGCGGTTGGAGGCGGAGTCGCAGGGCCCGACCCGCGGGGGTCGCGGCTCGGAGTGGGAGTGCGAGAGCCGGCGCGAGCGCGGCTGCATCCTGCGGCATGGCGAGCACCGCCTCGGAGATCATCGCCTTCATGGTCTCCATCTCCGGCTGGGTCCTGGTGTCCTCCACGCTGCCCACCGACTACTGGAAGGTGTCCACCATCGACGGCACGGTTATCACCACCGCCACCTATTGGGCCAACCTGTGGAAGACGTGCGTGACCGACTCCACGGGCGTCTCCAACTGCAAGGACTTCCCCTCCATGCTGGCGCTGGACGGTCTGCATCCCTCGCCCCTGGCCGCGCTCCTCGCGCTCTTGGCCCCACCGCCCTGAGTGGAGACCCGGCCGGCTCTGCCCCGAGGGTCTGAGGGAGCGGGGAGGATCAGCTGCCCCGGGGTGTCTGTCCCGTGGGGGCGCCTTCTGAACCCGGGACCGCAGACAGGCTCTAGTGGGGTGACTCAGGCGTCAGGGTGGCAGAGCGTTTTGGTCCTAAGAGTTGAGGACACGGAAAGTCCCTGCGTGTCCCCCGTAAAGTTAGGGCAAGGAATTCACAGGGTTTGTTCCTCTTCCCCACAAAAAGCTGGCTTCTGATTAAAATGGTATCACTAAAAGGCAAGAAGCCTGACCAGAGAGCCCCCTTTGGCTGTTTCGTTGGTTCTCTTAAAAGTACGCACGGTGGGGAAAAAAGGAACATATTGCAGGTTCTTCTTGTTTCCCTTAAAGTCGCTTCTACAAACTTCTCTGCATAGGCTTTAACACTTCCAAGTTCTGGGAAGATAAATAGCCCGTGCCTATGCCCCGATGAAGCGCCAGGAGAGGGTGGGCAGTGCTGGGAACCCAGTGCCGCCTCTCAGCCTCCGTGTGTGCGTCGCGATCTTCCTTGCGTTCTCTCTGAGCGAAAGTTCGCCCACGTTGGTTTGGGTAACCAGGCTGTGTACTGTATTGCATTGTACCCACACAGGTGGATCGACACAGAAAACCTGTTCTGTTTAGCCTCCAGAGAGCAGTTGATGTCTCGCTGACACAATGCTCAAGTTCTGACTCCTTTCTTCCAGGGTTTTGCAGCAAGTGACTTCATGGCTCCTGGCAGAAACTGTCATTTGTGTTATTCCAGATTTGAGGCTTTTTCCTTTATTACCATGCTTGCAGTTTTTATTTGCATAGCTGGGTAAATAAAAGAAGATTCGATTCCCCTGAGACAGTGCTTGCAATGAAAAGCAAACTGTTGCTCAATTCAGTATTTGATGGAACCTGGTATAAGAGAATACGTGTCTGGTTTTAGAAGGGTGGCACCCGGGTCTGTCCTGTTGTGTAAAGTAAGTAGCCGGAACACTGTTTATGCCCTAGCATTGCTGTTGAATTTCCTGTGCTTTGCAGAGCACACAGCCAGGTAGATGAACAGGCGGGCTCTTGTTTCTGTGGTTTACGCTGGCAACGGTAGGATTGACAGTTACTGTCCTAGGAGCATTCTTCTATTTGTAATTCTATTGTTGTCCAAGATAGCAGACCAAAGAGGTATGCTTCCTTGTATGGGACTGTTGGGGAACAATGGAGAGACAAAGAGAAGCAAAATGCACTGAAGATTATTAACTGCAGAATGGTAGAGTTTTCCCTTATATGTCTATGTGAGGAGCAGTGGTTCCCTGATTTGGGGCAGGTGGGGTGGTGAGGAGGAGGGAGGGCATAGTGCCTCATCATCAGGTCCTAGAGGTGGTTGGGAGTGGAGCAGATGAGTGATACTTATATGCTACCTGACCTGCAAATGACTTTCCTGTGTGCTCCTGTGAGTACCGAATGACTTTAAAAGAGTAAATGATATGTTCTGCAGTGTTTTAAAATTTATAATATATCTTCCCAAGATGGAAATGACACTTTTTAACTGCTGCATAGTATTCATTAGTCTGGGTAAACTGGTTTATTTAACCATTTATCCATTGTGGACCTTGGACCCTTTCCAACTTTACTGAAATTCTTTATCTTCACCTCTTTGTGTGCATATGCATTTCTGTAGACTATCCCACTGAGCAGTGGTGTTGCCAAGCAGTAGGGCATGCATTTTGATATTCAGTTTATTCTGCCAAATCTCCTTCCACTAATGAGAGAGAAGAGCTGCTTCTCCACATTCTCACCATTGACTTTTTCCTCCAGTGTTATGAGTGACAGCTCTGATGCCCTATCATTTTAATTAGTATTTCCCCAATTCCCAGTGATTTTGACCATCTTATCATGTATTGTTTTTCTCTTTCTGAATTACCTGCTCAGATCTTACACCCTTGGTTTTGTTGTTTCTTCTTGATTGAGGTGATTTGTCACTCCTTGATTCCATATGCATGTTGCAACCTCAGACGATTGCTTGTCTTTCTTTTCTTTTCTTTTTTGCGGTTCTGGGGATTGAATCCAGGGTCTTGTGCATTCTAGGAAAGGGCTCTACCACTGAGCCACATCCCCACTCCCATTGCTTGTCTTTTAACTGTATGATGTCCTAACAGAACTTCGAAATTTTTAACAAGATCACATTTATCTCTTCCTTGACCCTGCCTTCTGTGGCTTAAGTGGGCATTTCCTACTGCAAAATGATAATTGTGCTTTTCTGTATCTCCCAGGAGGGTTAAGTCACATTTTCACATGCAGGGGGTTGATTTCTCCCACCTGGAAGTAGGACTTTCCAGAGCAGGGGCCCTCCGCTTGTGAACTTACTGCCTTGTACTCCCAGGACAGGCACATCTGTTGGGTGCTGGTCCTGACATAGCCTTTGAAGTGGCAGGAGAAAGACACCAAATTTGGGCTACAGTGGCCACAGGCCTGAGCAGCCCAGTCTGCTCCTTAAACTAGGCATGAACTCTTGGTGGAAAAGAGAACCTATGAAGGAAGAGAGAAAGCTTGTGTCTCTCCCTCTTCCTGTGCTAGACGGAAGAACAAGCATCTTGGGCAGATGAAGGGATCATTATCTGAATTTCCTATCTGAGGTCAAAGCTCTGATTTTCCACCCTCAGGAGGTATCATTACTGCTCCAGTTTTGCGTATAAGGAAAATGAGGCCTAGTGAAGCTAATGTCTAGATTGAATGTTATGCCATGTTAAGCATCCAGCTCTCATTTCTGCTTAGAATCGCTCTTGGTATTATGGAAGGGATGACCTGATGAATTTCTCACTACTCATCAGACACTTTGCTCCTATTATTCATCCTTTGAAGTGAACACTGCTATCCCTATTTACAGATGAGAAAACAGAGAGATTAGTAATATAATCAAAGACATGCCACAGGTAAATAGAAGCACCGGACCTGAAGTTCAAAGTTATTGTCTTCCACCATTCATTCGTCTTTCAAAGGATTTGCAAAGCTACTAGTATAATAAGTATGTTTTTCCACTGAGCATTGTGGCACACACTTATAATCCCAGTGGTTCGGAGGCTGAGGCAGGAGGATTGTGAGTTCAAAACCAGCCTCAGCAACTTACCAAGGCACTTAGCAACTCAGTAAGACTCTGTCTCTAAATAAAATATTAAAAAGGGCTGAGGATGTGATTGAAAGGTTTAGTACCCCTGGGTTCAAGTCTTAGTACCAAAAAAAAAAAAAAGTGTTTTTTCCCCCTTGAATATCAACAAAGGTGCTACTAGTGAATTGCCTCCACCAAGTGGATGTTTTCATTTCTGCTGGTTTGCAATTGAAAATAAGGAAGATACATTTGGACAACATTTTACTTTTAAGGGACAGCTTAAAGATTTCCTCCAGCAGCAAAATTCACTAGTGTAAGGTTGCAATTTGAAAATTTCAAGGTTGAATGAGTTAGTGATTTCTGCTGATTGCTAATCCATTTTTCTTTCAAAGCACCACTTGAACCTCAGCTGAGAATCATTTCAGCCAGGTTGTTTGCCATTTATTTTGCTGGTGGGAATGTTTGCTCATTCTCCCAGGAGAACTAACTATAAATTATACTTCAGAAAACTCCTAAGTAAATATGTTCATGCCTCAGCACTTTAATGTGTTAATTAGCTATTAACGGTGTCAGTAAATTAGACCTGTCAAAAATAATGGCCTCCTTGTCCAGGTTTTTACTACCACTTCACTTGATGGTGTTACTTATAAGTATTGCCTTCAGGAACTATTAAAAAGCTAGGTTGTAGAGGTTTGTGTGCCTTGCAAAAGATAAACTCTGAAAATTTGTTGGAAGTCTGTTAAGATCCAAGTCATGGGCGTTTTAAGAATCTCAGGCTCACCAACAACCTGATTTCTTTTGCAGCTGATAGGTGCAGTTTATCCCCTGCTCTTGATTCCCCATTTCAGAAAATCTGGCTAATCGTCCTTGTGAGGGGCCTTCTGTTGTCTATGCAGAACATAAGCAAGTTATTGCCACTGTGGTCATGCACAGAGAGGTGCCTTGGCTTGACAGCAAGGTTCCAGCTGGCGCAAAAGAAGGGTTGGCCATTCAGAATCTGCTTGGTCCATCTCTCCTCTCATGCTTGTGCCAAGAGACCAGAGCAGGTCTGAAATGGGAGAGCTCAGAATGACAGACTGCATAAAGTGAAAAGACTACTGTTATTTTCCCTGTCATGTTAAGGGTTGACTGAGTTGGCCTGGGACTCTTAACTGCTGTTTACCATCTGGGAAAATGCATTCCTTGTTCTGAATGACCAGATTGTAGAACTTAACCCTTTGGTAAATTCCAGACCATCTGCCTTTTTAATAAAGCCTGTAACTAAAGTAAATGCAAATTATGGTATATGATAAAGTTTTCCAGGAATGTATACGTGTGTGTGTATATATCTCTCTTTACACACACACACATAGCCACACACACACAGTGGTTTCTCCACCAATCCATAGTTTGGCTTTCCTCAGTTTCAGTTACCCAAGGCCAACCATGGTCCAAAAATATTGAATTGAAAATTCCAGAAATAATGTGTTTTAAATAACTATTATAGTAAATTATAATTTTAGTTATTATTAATCTCTTGTGTCTAATTTATAAACTAAACTCTGTCATATATAGGAAAAAACAGTATAGACAGGGTTCAGTAGTACCTCAGTCATCCACTGGGGATTTTGGAACATACCCCACGCAATAAGTGGGGGACTACTCTGTGTGTGTGTGTGTGTGTGTGTGTGTGTGTGTGTGTGTGTGTATACATGCATGTGTGCATAACCCCACTATTTTTCCATTTGATGATTACATTTAGAGTTATCCTGAACAACTCAAAACCAAAGATTAAGTGAATTTCTCAAAAATTAGAAACTACACTGTGCCAGTAGTTTTGTGTAAATGATGAGCTACTTTGGGTTATCCTGGCAGACTCTCTTTACTCCTGCTCAGGACTGGCAGGCCTCTTTTCTCTGCCTTCCTTCAGCCTTCTCACCAGGTCAAAGTTTAAAATAGAGCTAGCTGGGTATTTGGCAGCAGAGACCCAGAGAGCCCTGGGCATGACTATTGCTATCAAAAGAATCCTCCATTATCCCATTTTGCTAAAAATAAGTTTCTTTTACTTTTTTTGATAGGTTCAGCATCAGTGAATATTTCTTCTGTATAGAAGTAGTTCACACTATAAAATAGAAGTCATTGTCATTGTAGCCTGCAATTGTGTTCCAGTTAAGTAGGTAGAGAAGCTCCCATTTGCTCTTCAAAGTGGATCCTAGGAATAGGATTCTAACTTTAGTTTTCATTCTTTTCCAAAGAAACATGGGACTGTAGCCATCAGCACTTCCCTGAATTTATGATTATAATGATCTCAGTATTATTATTGTCAACTTTACCTGAATGCAAAGTTGTAAATGACTTGTTTTATCTTAAGAGCTTTTTCCAATTAGAAATATAATTTCCAACATAAACCTGATGCGTGTGCTTATTTGCTTAGCAAATATTTACTTATATTTAATACAAGCTAGTCTTGTTATTTCAGATTGAAATATGGCACCATTTAAGACTGAAATGAAAATGACTTGGGTGGTGAAAGTTTAAGTCATATTAATTTAAAATGTGTTAGTGCCTGGACAAAAGCCATGCTGAAATTTGCCATCACCCTGGCTGTGCAAATAAAAATATGTGAAATAAGAAAACGAATGTGCAGGAGAGCTGATCCAGCAAACTAACAGAATACATTTTCAGGGTACTTTAAAGGCATCCATTTACATGTAAACAGTTCATTTAATAATTGTAAATTACTCTTCTCTCAAATAATGCTTTTTAAAGCCCAACTTTATGTGCCTTGATAAAAAATATGTCACTAGAATACTTCTTGATTTAGACTCCTCATGGTTTTTGAAGGTATTCTGATTAGTCTCATTTATAAGCTTTCACTGATATTGGAAGGTTTGACCCTTTGGAATGTCTTACTACCTAATTATAAATTCTATAATTTTATCTGTCAAAACCATAAAAATATCTATTTAAAAGGTTGACATGCAAAGGAGTTAGAGAGTTTTGATAGAGGCAGGCGACATCTCTTTCCTTGCTTGTCTTGCCTTGAGTTTTTTTTCTCCCCTTGGACAACAGAACAATCATCCAGAATGACAATGTAAAATGAGGATTTTCCCCCCGACATCCACATGTTCAATATTAACGTGAATGACCTACTCTAATTGCAGGTTATATCCAGGCATGTAGAGGACTTATGATTGCTGCTGTCAGCCTGGGATTTTTTGGTTCCATATTTGCACTCTTTGGAATGAAGTGTACCAAAGTCGGAGGCTCAGATAAAGCCAAAGCTAAAATTGCTTGTTTGGCTGGGATTGTATTCATCCTGTCAGGTAAAGAGTAACTTTCTTCCAAACAAGGTACTTCATGGTGTTAATGAGATGACACTAACCACAGGGCTTTCCTCTGATGCGTTTTAGGGCTGTGCTCAATGACTGGCTGTTCCCTGTATGCAAACAAAATCACAACGGAATTCTTTGATCCTCACTATGTGGAGCAAAAGTAAGTGTTCTTGGTCTGTATATTTCTAGTTGCAGGAAGTTTATATAAATTAATGTCCTAAGTTAAGAGACATGAATTTCCTATATGGCATTTGAAAATGCAACATACTGGTAAATGGTATTTGATGACATCGTTCAATTTATGTGCCCCATTGACAAAAGATGTATTTGACTACTTCATTAAAGTTACATAATGGCTGTCTCTAAAGAGCTCAAGGTATAGGGTTGAGAATGATGGACTTTATCTACTGTACATCATCAGATTCAAGTCAGATGCAAGAGAGATGAGAGATGGGGAGGAAAGAGTGATGAAGTGTGAGAATGGGAAATCAAAAGCTTGCCTGGATTTTTGTTTATCCAAAATAGTATTTGCCAGGTGCTAGTCTCTAGGCCTGGTCAGTGTGCTCTGCCTGGACAAGCTCCACCACATCTACCTTTATGAGGAAACTGCATGATGCACAGTTTTTAAAAAAAACTTGCTCCAGCAGCATGGTACGGATGAGAGTGGCTGATCTCAGTTGCAGATGAGTGCTTTGGCATTAAGAGCTCGGTTTGTTTGTTGTTGTCCTTAAGCTATGGGCTGTTGCTTTTTATGATTTCTTTAGGTGTATTTCTTTGGATTGGGAAAACCCCAGACATACCAAATCAGAAATAACCTTAGATCAAATCTTTTGTCATACATGAGAATATGCTCAGATCACCTGCCAAAAAGCTGCATGCGTCTGGGTGTGTATTGCGATCATCCAGACTGGTAATTATCGTACAAATTTCAGATCAAACGTTATAACATTTTTAAAAATTATATAACATTTTTAAAAATTATTAGTAAATTATGGAAATAACTGACCAAGTGGACATTATTTTTTTCTAGTGGATTTAGAAATCTTCTAACTTTACTAATTCTGTTTTTAGTGTGATTAAGTTACAAATAGGAAATGCACAGTTCGTGAAATACAATGAAAAAAATAGCTATCACATCAAGCCCCTACTATGTGCAAGCAGGGCATTGCAAATACTACTATGTTATTTTATCACATCCTTATAACATAGGTCTTCTTGGGACTCCCTTTTTTGAAATTGAGGGAAGAGGTCAAGTAAGGTGATTAAGGGAACTTGAACTAAACTAGTAAACTGATTGAACCATGATTCAAACCAGACAGTCAAACTCTAAAATACCGCTATAAAATGTGTGATTTACAACAATCTTCCATTTCATAATTTTTGGTGATAGGATGCCACACATAGTTTTAATCAGTGGGTCTCTTTTGCACATGTTAAGTTAGTTTTCATTTAGAAATTTTACTAAATGGAAACAAAAACACATGACACTATGCACTGAGATGATATCTGAAACTATACTAATGAAGATCAGAAATATTTTAATGATATTTAAATGAAGTATCCTTTAAATGATACATTTTCCTTCAGGGTTTGATACAAATGCAATACAAAATCATATTTCTCATGGTTTATTTTATCAAACACATTACTTAAGTTTTCTGGATTATCTTTTTGAGGTCACTGTTTTTGTTTTCTGATAATTATTAAGGATGTCTTTTTCTGCATCTTAAAAATCATATGAGCCAGGCACCTGTAATCCCAGAGGCTCCAGAGGCAGAGGCAGGGGGATTGCGAGTTTAAAGCCAGCCTTAGCAAAAGCAAGGTGCTAAGCAACTCAGTGAGATCCTGTCTCTACATAAAATACAAAATATAGCTGGGTATGTGGCTCAGTGGCCAACTGTCTCTGAGTTCAAGTGCCCTGGTACCCCACCCCAAAAGTTCATATGATCCTCCTTAAAAGGTCTAGGCTAATCCGTGTATGCACAAAAACGAAACCTGTCTTCGTGTATGTTTCCTGTGCTTTGGGTATGCTCAGTTGCCTACTGCAGTTTGGTGTCCTTGGAATTGCTTAGTCTCCTGTTTGATTTTGATTAAATACAGTTCAGTAATTATGTACCATGAGAGATTTTGCTGGTTTCCAAGTTCTTAGTGCTACATTGAACTATCCCATTGCCACAGTTAGCCCCTCAGCATGCATTTGTCTTTCTCGGCTTATTCTCTCTGCATTTATTCTCATCTGTAAAATAGAGATGATAGCATCATCCCTTTCATAGAGTTGCTGCAAGGGTCAAGTGTGTATGTGTACAGGTTTGTCACAGACCACATACCTTTTTTTTAGCTCTAGTTGTATTAGCTATCCGTTAAGATTCTTAATTTAATGAATTAAGGATTTTAAATTCTGTGCCATATACAGTTTGCCAACTTACTCCAAATAATTAAAAGTACAAGAGCTAGACCTCAGGAGAATGGCACTGTAGTCCGGCACAGTGGTGTGAGTCTGCGGTCCCAGCTACTCCGGAGGCTGAGGTGGGAGAAGTGCTTGAGCTTAGGAATTCTAGGCCAGCGCAGGCATCTCAAAAAAGCAAAACAAAACAAAAAAAACCTGACACTGCTTATAAACTGTTGATATTTACAAAGAACCCTTCACATCAGTATCTTATGGAGAATACAGACTTTGTAAAGAGCCTGTGTACTGAGAATAGTTGGGTCCTGGAAACTGTGACCTAAAGGCCCTCCATAATCTAAATTCTGGTTGGATCAAGGGATTATCAGGGTCTGAGATTTGTAAACATGATCAAATTCTAATTATCATGATAGAAGAAAAGCATACAAATGATAAATGACACCCATAGGAATTAAAAAGTATTTATTTATTAAGCAGTCATGGGGATTGAACTCAGGGGTGCTCTACCACTGAACTCTACCCCTAGTACTTTTTTTTTTTTATTCTGAGCCTGGGCCTTACTGAATTGCTAAGGCTGGCCTTGAATTTGGGATCCTCCTGCCTTGGCCTCCCAAGCTGCTGGGATTATAGATATGACACTGTGTCTAGCTCAAAGACCTCATTTAAATAAAACAGGCTTTTATAAAGAAAACCAACAAATTAATTGACATGATGTCATCTGGCTTTCTTTTATTGTCACCTTTTCATAGAGGAAAGGATAATAGAAATTTAGAAGATCAACAAACTACAATTGGCTATTTGTTTCATAGGACTTGAAATATCTTTTTTAAAGCAAGATTTTTGATTCAGTGCATTATAGAGGACAGCACTTCCTTAGGTGGCATTTGGTAGAATTTAAGAACCAGTGTGTCTGGTTGCATTTGTTCATGAACTTAAGAGAGGAATACATGGGGGCATTGAAACTCATGGCTGGGCCAACCCGGTGAGCTGGGGTTTGGAAGATGCAGCTGTAGGAATGTTCTTACTATTTTTTTTGATGTCTTACTTGACCAGAATACGAATTAAGTAAGTTCCTTGGGGTCAGAAAACATTTCTTTCAATTCCATCTTCTCCCCCTGGCCCAGTGCCTAGAAGTGAGTTACTGGAGCCAGTCCTTTCTGTTATCTTAGCAGTCTGAGGAAGGCAAGCTCTGAGAGGAGGGAGCAGAGAGGCAGTGCACTCTCCTCTTCCATGATCATCACACATTCATCTTAACAAAACCCAGCTGCCACCCAGTGCCATCTCCCCCTCCAGCCCAGGAAGGTGTGACCAGCATGAGCCTGAGCGTCTGGGTCCGTGGGTGGCTCACTGAAAGATGCCATTCGCCACAGGTTCTAATTTGAATTACTTTCTGACACCCAAATCCTCTAATGTGCTGGAAGACAGTTCAGGTCTCACAGTGTGGTTGTCGTCTTGCTGCTGCCGTCGATTTTTTATATTCCTAAGACTTCTACAGTGTGTTGATTGGATCTTCTCTGCAAACTTCCAGGACACTCCTGTATGAAGCACACCTCGGTGGCCTAAGTTACAAAAAACACAATGAGCTAATCAACAAGGTTCTCACCGTGTGCAAGGAACTCAGTAGGAGCTTTGTTGATAAGAAAAACACGAGTGGGTTTTGGTGCAGAGCTGGAGTACAGATTTTGGCAGTGGCGCTATGTGCTGTGTGTTCAATGGCTGTTTATTCTAAAACCCTCCCTTTCCCACTGTGGATCTGTGAAGATTTTTTTTTCCACGTAACATTTGACAGAATCGCAGTCTTGAAAGAGTCTCATGGGCCTGTGCTCTGCTGTGTGCCCACTCCTCCTGTTTTGTGTTGCTTCCTTTCTTTACATTATGGTTATGTTTTCTTGGATGGTTCCAGCATGGGCATCTGCAGAGCCTTGAAAACTATTTCTCTATTTTCCCCTTTAGGCTGTTTCAAGCCAACTTCTTCCTTTTTATTAAAACAAAACCCACCAAATCTAAAAACAAAACAAAACCCTGCCCTCCTGCAGGCTGTGATGCGAGGTGCCCCCGCAGGGCTTGCATTCCAGGGTGATCACATTATTCCCTTTTGCCACTCAGCTGTCCAGACCACTAACTCCTGCATATCTAGCTTTGTTTTCTTCAATAAACTGTTCCAAGCAAGAATTGATTGACGTAAAGAGACCGCTTTTCGAATCAAGCCAAGTTAGAGCACCTAACCAGTCGAGTACTTGAAGAAGCAACATCATGATCTTAGATTTATTCTGTCTGTACATGAGATTCATCTCTAATATTTTGACCTAGGTGGGCTCGTGTTTGGTTCTTAACCTCTCTTTTCTGTGTTCTGTCTTTTCAAAACCACGGAACATGCTTCATTCCTGGCATATTTTATTTCTACTTTAGGATTTAAGCTTCACTTAGATAAAAATCTCTTCACCATTGTGGTTGTTTAATAGATAATAGAAATGTATGACTTCCAGGTGGGGAGTGTGGCTCAGTAGTAGAGCACATGTTTAGCATGCACCAGGCCTGGGCTCAATTCCTAGCACCAAAAAAAAAAAAAAAAAAGAAAAAGAAAAAAAAACAGCTGCTGCCTACTTACACAGATATTCCTGGGTGAAGTTGAGAAGAATACCCATCACACCAGCCAACCTTGCCAAGATTATTTAACTTCTTCCTTCTATCTTATTATTTATTACCTTATGAATGTTTGCTTAAGATTACAATACTCATGAGGCTATTTGGAGAAT